TCTTGGTCTCAATGCCTACTTTGAAAACAAATAAGCATACTGTCACATGAAGCCCTGTGATCACAATTCTTGCCAACCCCATTCTCGCTCCAATGCAACCTGTTTTCTCTGTGACGTTATTCCTTGAAATGTCCCTTTTCCAGTACCCTTTACCTTGAATATATACCTTTATCCTTCAAATAACCACCAGAGAACTTTCCCTTATGCTGACCTTATATGGACACTCTTGAACGTCTGAAAAGATACTAACCAATAATTTTGCATGTTAATAATCATGCCAGTTGGGGCGCCTGGGTGGCTCAGTTGTTAGGCGTCTGCCTTTGGCTCAGGTCATGATCCCAGGGTCCTGGGATCGAGCCCCACATCGGGCTCCCTGCTCTGTGGGAAGCCTGCTTCTCCCTCTCCCACTCCCCCTGCTTGTGTTCCCTCTCTCACTGTGTCTCTCTCTGTCAAATAAATAAAATTTTTAAAAATAAATAAATAAAAATAAAAACAGAATCAGTTGGCTTTATCTTTAAAAAAAAAAATCGTGCCAATTTATCATCAGTATTTTGAGATCGGTACAGCCTTGGATCCAACCCTTTCCACCTATCATAATATGTATGGGAAAGGGAGTAGTAATGATTTTGCATAAGTTTCAGTATCCCAAGCAAAGTGCACCTTGATTTTCACAACTGGTGGCATCTCTTCCAGATGATGGGAGACCCTGGAAACAGATTAGTACACTTGCCCATGAGTCATCTCCAGCACGTCTGCATTAGAATGCCAACTTTATTACAAGATACCACACAAAAAATATACTAACATGCTTCTGTGATTTTAAGTATTTTAAAACTGTAACCTTTTCATTTAATGGTCTCAACTAAGAATTATCTGAAGGTCACATCCTGGTATCATATATGAAACACCAGGAATCTTACAAACATACTACATAAAAATAATACATGACTTATTACTATTTACCATTATGATTACTTACATAGATTACAGAAAACCCTTGGGTAATTTTATTTTTATTATGAAATTTAAGACATGTTTCTCTCATTTTATTACTCAATGATCTATTATCATAGCTCTTTTTTGTTAGAAATCTAATGCAAAACACATTCAGAACAAGAATGAAAGGCTACTTTGTTTATTTTTTTTGTCGGGGCGCCTGGGTGGCTCAGTCGTTAAGTGTCTGCCTTTGGCTCAGGTCATGATCCCTGGGTCCTGGGTTCCAGCCCCACATCGGGCTCCCTGCTCAGCTGGAAGCCTGCTTCTCCCTCTCCCACTCCCCCTGCTTGTGTTCCCTCTCTCGCGGTCTCTCTATCAAATAAATAATTAAAAAAAAAAAATCACCAGTCCTCTGCAGGAATACAAACTGAAGAACATATTCCCTTATAGCATTCAGCAGCATCACCATTAACGGCTGCACAACCACTAAACGCTAAGCAGTGTATCTTAACACCTTATGGTTGTACATCTCTCTACAAACAAAACTTTCTTTATGGAACCTGTAATTCAAAGTATTGAATACATCTATATCTTAAATTATACTATGTATTTTCCATTAGTTTGTGTAACATTTTAATCTGTGAACAAATATGCCTTAATCTGGTAAATGTAGGCAGAACTTGAGTCTCATTCAGAAATTGAGGTCAGATTCTTAAAGCAGTAGTCAGAACTTAAAACATTAAAAAAAAAAAAATACATCAGCCTGAATCACAAAGATTTCCAGAGATAAAAAAATCACCTAAAAAGACCAAACAAGGGGCGCCTGGGTGGCTCAGTAGTTAAGCGTCTTCCTTCAGCTCAGGTCATGGTCCCAGGACCCTGGGATTGAGCCTCACATCGGGCTCCCTGCTCGGTGAGAAGCCTGCTTCTCCTTTTCCCACTCCCCCTGTTTGTGTTCCCTCACTCGCTGCGTCTCTGTCAAATAAATAAAATCTTAACTAAAAAAAAAAAAAAGACCACACAAAAGAATGTCTAAACTAAAATAACAGTTAACAATATATCCTCTATAACAGTGTAACTCATCACTGTCAGAAGTCTCCTTATAAGTCCTTGGGAGACCAACAAGAAACAGTTCTGGACAAAAGGGAACACAGTACAAACTAACTGTATAACCTCTCTAAAAGCTCACTTAATTCTTTGTAATCTGAGTTTATCCTCTGTATTTGATGACTCAATTATAGTTACATAAAATAAGTAACTGCCAGGAGAGATAACGGTCATGAGCATAGGTTCAAGAGTCTGAAGAGCCAGGGTGTGAATCTAGGTGCTGCCATCTACCAGCTGTATGTACCTGGCCATGTTATTTAACTCTGTGCCTCAGCTGCCTCATTTGAAAACCCACGTAGGGTTACTGTGAAGACTATGAGATAATACGCAAAAAGTGTGTAGAATGGTGCCTGTTTATTGTTAAAATGAAGTTACTGAAAATGTTTAAATGTATGTTCCTGATAACGATTACTCCTTATATTCATAAGTGCTTCAGGTGGCATGCCACCGTTAATTAAGCTCCTCACCACATTACACAAAATACCTTTGAAACTTCAGGTGTTCACAAATAAGTGAATCCACCTCTGACTCAATACTAAGTTCAAGATACCACAAACTCCCCAAAATTTGCAAGTGATGGTAAATTGGCAAAGAGTGAAATTTTATAATTCGTAATTATCTTGCCAAATTAAAGCAAAGAAAATGACAGTCATCTAGAACTTACCAGAGAAGATGCACAGAAAAATTTCTAGTGCTGTAAGAAGATCTGTTTAAAGCAACAGGATCCATGCACTGTTTGGAAACCTACTTTGGATTTGTTTTCAAGTGTATTCAATGGCTTCACCTCGTTTATCACTCAAACCTTAAAGGAGGTCACATTTAATTTTAATAACCCAACCTTAAAATGTTTCAGATATACTATGTACAGGAGCATGCTATTATATTTCCTCTCTAATAACTTTAAATTGAAGGACATCATTAATGAAAATCAATATTTTTCCTTTCATTAAAACATCCAGGAAAAAAAACAGAAAACATACTACTTTATTTCTAATTTTTTTATTTATTGTAGTTGACTACTTCATTTTTAAATGGATGCTTTTTAGAAATGCTAGTACAATAATTTACAAAAGTTCTAACATTTTCTAATTGTCTAAAAGGTATTCATTCCCAATACCCTATTTTACCCATAATATTAGGAGATCTGAATTTTAGAAAACCAACATTTTACTGGCTGACCCAATACTGCAGGAGTTGGTTATTCCAACACACAAGCAGGAAATAAAATATGTGTACTATCTTCAAAGGACTACCAATCAGGTTTTAGATAAACCCAACTGAAGCACCAGAAGAGAAAGTCATCTTACTTGAAAAGGTAGAGGCTTTCTCAATTTTTTGAGGTGACAGCATTCACAATCTATCCAGTTTTCAAATTCTTTCAAGGCCCTGCAAATCCCGTTTAAGTCTGCTGAAATTCTGTGGTTGACAGGCATTTTCCCTCAAAACTTAATTGTCCATATTATTTATTTCCAATTTTATTAGGTCACCTTGAAATTCTCTCCTCTGAAAAGCACTTGCGGATTTTAGTTAACATGTCTCTTTAAATATTACCAATAAAAGCCCACACATCTTGCAGCCCACTTACGTCTTACGATGCTTAAAGAAAAAAAAAAAATCTCTCTCAGGGATCAAATGGCTATACAGGAACTGCTTCAACTTCCCTGCACCTGCATTATACTCTTAAATACCTTGAGATCCTGTATTGTGCTGCAGCTATACAGCAGGCGCATGATCACAAGGCTTTTTTCAACAGCCCCCAGATCCCTTACTGCTGCAAAACTTCTCACAAGCGTTCCATGCACTATACTGTTGTTGTTTAACTGCTTTACCTGTTTATTTACCAACCCCATCATCTCGGGGAATTCAAACCCTTCAAACTGCCTTCTGAAACATATCTAGACTATCCCATGTTATTCAGAGGAAGATCTGCAGCGGGATAAAAACTTGAGTTCTGATGTTCATCCCCTGACCCAAATTGCTGTTGCCAGGATATGCGGTAGTAATGCAGTGGTTTCTTTGAGACTCTGAGGATGTATTTTACCCTAGAAATAGCCAATCTCTACTAAATTCCTTTTAATCGCCGAGATTTCCGCGGTAACAATGCTCAACAGGAAGGTATTTTAAACAACTGAAAGACGAGTTATTCTAATTTGGCTTTTATTTTTTCCTCGATAATACCTGCCATCACAAGGACATTTTTCCATACAGCATTTGCAACTAAAGAAAGAAAAAAAGGAGCTTCTGGCGCTAGTTATCACACGCTAAGAAGTCCCTTATCATTACGCTTCTTAAAAAATCTTTCGAGGTAGGATTTGGGGCTAAGCTTACATCGACCACAGTCCTATAACTTACTCTTTTCCAAGCAAAATGAACGGCCTAATAACAACAGCAACATTTACGCCTAGGGAAATCTCAATTGTTTGACCAACCAAGAAGGCGTCTGATAACTAAAGGACCCTTTTCCCATGGGAGGAAATGGAAAGACAGACAATGAAAGGGACTTATTATAATAAGGATAGACGAAGGACGACCTCAAGAAGAGCCCTGCGAGCAAAACCCAGGGGTTCGGGAGCCCTGGTCTCAGCGACACCCGCCCGAAGCCCTCCCAACCCATCCCTCTTTTCCCCCGGGAGCCCGCCCGGCGCCTTCACAGGCCCGGCGCACCCGAGGGGAGCACCGTCCCCAGTCTGCGGCCCAACCAGGCTTCCGAAACCCGCCCAAGCAGGCCGAAGCCGCAAACCCGGCGGCCTGAGTTTAACAGGTAAGAGAATACGAGGTGAGAGGAGATGCGGCCTCGCCTCAAGCTGGGAGGCCCCTGGAGGAACTGGAGGCGGGAGAAGAGCAAGCCGGGTCGTAAGCCGGGGCAGAGCTTGGAAAGAAAAGAGCTAGGAGCGGGCGATGAGGACGTCCCAGCTCTGCCAGCGCCTTCCCGGATTCTCGGCAACGCCCGTGTTTACCTGAAAGTCTCGATCCTCGTTGAAGCGGGAGAAGCGGTCCGCCATTTTGCCGCCTTCACTCCTCTCAGGACGACGCTCTCCGGTTCGCTCCTTCCCTCCCGCGACACCCGCCCCCTCGCTCCCCTCCCCAGTTCCCCGCCTCCTCCCACGCCCACCCGGCGCGCGCAGGCGAGGGAGGGAGGAAGCGAGAAAGCGCGTCTAGAAGGGAGCCCCGTCGGCGCAGGCGCTTTTCGGCCCTGGAGGCGGAACCTTCCCTTAAATCCCCTCTCCGCTCCCGGCCCAGAGCGACCTCGGCGGCCGCGCGTGCGCATTCGCGCCGGAGAGCTGCAAGCGCTTCCGGAGGGAAAGATTACAGGGGCAAAATACGCTTGGATCCGGATGTTTTCCACCTGCTGATTTCCCCAACTACGATATGTTTTCTTGCCCTCTTGGTTCCCTGTGTGTGCAGAAGCCCATCCTCTGCTTTATTCAGTAAATAGCAATGTAATGTACTGGTTGAAAGCGCGGATTTTGGAGCCAGACTACGTCCTTTCGAATCCCAGTTTGCCCTGAGGATTAAACGGCAAACGAAAAGACCCCTTCTCTCATGGGCTTACATTCCGGTAGAGAAAATCAGATACATAGTAAAAATAATTACATAACTTTAAATGTTGACGAGTGCTACAAAAAATAAAAAACAGTACAGTCATGAGACCTCTGAAATGACCTTTGGCCTTTGAGGAAAAGCAAGGAACAAGGCTCCACCACCACCTCCCCGCAGCCTTGGAGCAAAGGGAACATTAGACCCACAGGCCCCTTGAGGGCTAAGAGTTGCCATTTTTAAGATATTATTAGAGTGAGTACTTTTCAAGAGACCAAAGTTGATCCAAAACAAGTAAAGTTCTCTGGGTTTCAGTTTCTTTTTTATAAAATAAGGAAATTGAATTTGGTAATCTCTACTGCCCCGGCCCCGGCAATGACTGTATGGGTTATGATTCAGATTTTTCCATCCTTTGGCTTTCCTGAGCACCCCACCCGGCCCTCCAGCTCCCTCAGCCAAAATACATAAAACACGTAGGAGGGGTATAAGGACTTCCCTGCTTTTGGAAAGAGTAGTTCACAGAAATCACAAAATGGAAAATAGCCCTTACCCTACCCTGAGAGAGTCGAGTGGAATGTAAATTTTTGAAAGGATGTGTATCTTCTATTCCTTTGTTACCCTTTGCCTCATCCAACCCCCAGTCCAAATCGAATACAAGTGTAAGCAATGAAAAGAACTCTCTAAGGAGAGGCTGAACACAGACTGTAAACATTGTAAAAAGATTGAGGGTAAATGTGTCAGATTGAATCACAGGGATAAACATGACACATTTACCTCTTCTCCCTCTCCCAGCCCTACTAAGATGACTCTGATGGGGTCATGATCCCAGGAGCCTAGGACTGAGCCCCCATTGGGCTCCCTGCTTGGCCAGGAGCCTGTTTCTCTCTCTCCCTCTGCATTCCCCCTGCTTGTGCTCTCTGGCTCTGTCTCTCTCTCTGTCTCTCTCTCTGTCAAATAAATAAAATCTTAAAAAGATAGGGGCGCCTGGGTGGCTCAGTTGGTTAAGCGACTGCCTTCGGCTCGGGTCATGATCCTGGAGTCGGGGGATCGAGACCCACATCGGGCTCCCTGCTCAGCAGGGAGTCAGCTTCTACCTCTGACCCTCTTCCCTCTCGTGCTCTCTATCTCCCATTCTCTCTCTCTCAAAAAAAAAAAATATTTAAAAAAATATTTAAAAAATAAAGATAAAATCTTAAAAAGAAAAAAAACACTTTGGAAGCTAGAGAGCACAGATAAATGGAAATGATTCTAGTAGAATAGAGAAAACAAAGTCCTAGAGTGGGGAAGTTAGGAACAAGTTGACTAATGCTAAGGTGTACCACAAAGATTCAGGATTTGGAATCACTAGGTACCAAGATGAGGGTGTGGATGGAGTTGAAAACAGGACTTGTTACGAGGTAGTTTAGAGAGCACTCAAACTCTAAACCCCTTTCCCACCCAGGCAGTAAACTGGAAGGTTCTCCTCGGAAAAGACTAAACAAAGAGACTAACATATCTGGCACAGATAAGGAAAGAGATACCATGCCGTAAATGGGAAGATTTGGTAAAAGCTAACATTCAGGTCAGAGAAGGCTTCTTCCATCTTAGTGGGAAAAAACCTACACATACCAAAAATAGGAGTGGAGTCTCAACGTATAAAGGTCATGTTCCAACCCAGATATCCCACAGAAGAGTCCATCATTCTAGAATCCCCAGTCACACAGATCTTCCACTCAGCTGTTATGTATGAATGGATAGCCAAAAATAATCAGACATTAAAAGAAACTTGTTAAGGGAGCCTGGGTGGCTCAGTCGTTGGGCGTCTGCCTTCAGCTCGGGTCATGATCCCCAGGGTTCTGGGATCGAGCCCCGCATTGGGCTCCCTGCTCAGTGGGAAGCCTGCTGCTTCTCCCTCTCCCACTCCCCCTGCTTGTGTTCCCTCTCTCGCTGTCTCTCTCTCTGTGTCAAATAAATAAATAAAATCTTAAAAAAAAAAAAAAAACCTGTAAGACAGAAACACCCCCACCCCAAAACAAAACAAAACAAAACAAAAAAACAGCAAGGAGAATTCAGAGGAACCAGAGATAATGGAAGTAATAAAAGAAGCCATCAAAAGAATGGTAATCAATACCCACAGAGATATGAGATTACCTCAGGAAATAAGGGACCACATCAGGAAGCATAGGATGCCAACAAAGAATATTCAGAGATTAAGAAGTAACTTTTTGAAAGTTAAAATGTCTTAAGCAGAGGGGCGCCTGGGTGGCTCAGTCATTAAGTGTCTGCCTTCGCCTCAGGTCATGATCCCAGGGTCCTGGGATGGAGCCCCGCATTGAGCCCCGCATCGGGCTCCCTGCTCAGTGGGAAGCCTGCTTCTCCCTCTCCTGCTCCCCCTGCTTGTGTTCCCTCTCTAGCTCTCTCTCTGGGTCAAATAAATAAATAACATCTTTAGAAAAAATGTCTTAAGCAGAAATGAAAAATTCAATAGAAGAGTTAGGAAATAAAATTGCAGAAATCTCCCAGAAAACAATAAAAAGCCACCGTCATCCAAGGTCAATTAGATTACATAAGTCCTCTGCTGCAACCCTCCAGTGGCTTTCCTGGTCATTCACACTAAAGGCCATCATCACCTCACCTCTCAGACCTCATTCCTCTCTGCCCGCTGTGTCCCTCCTCCCTGGGCACACTGACCTCCTGGCCATACCTTGATCCCACAGGCCTGCTCCTGTGTCGGCCTGCCCCACTCAGGGGCTACGTATATGTTGTTCTTTCTGCCTCATTCTTTCCCAGATATCCACCCACATGGCTTGCCCCCTCATCCTTTGGTCTTTACTTGAATGTTAGTTTGTCAGTAAGATCTTCCCTGATCACCCTGTTTAAAATCACAGAGCTCAGGGGCGCCTGGGTGGCTCAGTTGGTTAAGCGACTGCCTTCGGCTCAGGTCATGATCCTGGAGTCCCGGGATCGAGTCCCGCGTCGGGCTCCCTGCTCAGCGGGGAGTCTGCTTCTCCCTCTGACCCTCTTCCCTCTCGTGCTCTCTATCTCTCATTCTCTCTCTCTCAAATAAATAAATAAAATCTTAAAAAAAAAAAATAAAATAAAATAAAATCACAGAGCTCAGTATTCTGAACTTCCTAGCCTCTTTCCCTAATTTTATTTTTCTCCATAGTACTTACCACTTTCTAATATGTAATGTAAGCTCCATGAGAGCAGAAATTCTTTCAGTTCTATTCCCTTCTATATCCCTAACCCCTAGAATAATAAATGACACATAATAGGCACTAAGTATTTTCTGAATAGATGAGAAGAAAAATAGGAAAAACAGATAAGAAAATATGAGGATCAATCCAATATCTGAATAGCAGCAGAGTTTCCAGAAAGAATGGAGGAAAAAATGGAAGGAAGAGCATATTAAGAAATAACATGTAAACTTTTTCTGGTTCTAAGGGCCTGAGTGTCTAAACTGAGAGGGTCCAGCACAATGGGTGGAAAAATAGCTTGCTGCCAGGTACAGCATTGTGAAATTTCAGGACACATAAGATAAAGAGAAGCTTTTACAGGTTTTCAAAGAGGAAAAATAAGTCACATATGAAGGATAGGGAATTGGAATGATCTTTTTCTCCAAAACACCAGACTAAGGGGTAATGCCCTGAAAATCCTGAGAAGAGGGTTTTTTTTTTTTTAAGATTTTATTTTATTTATTTATTTATTTGACAGAGACAGAGACAGTGAGAGCAAGAACACAAGCAGCGGGAGTGGGAGAGGGAGAGCAGGCTTCCCACTGAGCAGGGAGCCCGATGTGGGACTCGATCCCAGGACACTGGGATCATGACCTGAGCCGAAGGCAGACGCTTAACGACTGAGCCACCCAGGCGCCCGAGAGAAGAGGGTTTTAAACCTAGGAATCTATATCCACCCAAATCATTACTCAACCGTGAAGGGGGAAAATGACATTTAGACCTGCAAGCTCTCAAAAAAATCTATTTTCCGTGGTCTCTTTCTCTGGAAGCCACTAAAGAATGCTCTGCAGCAAAACAAGGAAGTATAACAAGAAAGAGGGAGACTTGAGATCCAGAAGTCAGAGATCCAACCTGAGAAAGAAGTGAAGAGAATTCCCAGGGCGAGCGTGTAGAGTCATTCCAGGATGACAACTGGGTAGCTGGCCTAAAAACACCCAATCCCGGTGAACACAGGCGAACACAGGAGAACAGAGGCCCCAGGAAGGTTGTTGCCAAGCTAGAAAGAAACCTGATGGAATACTAGCAGCTCTGAAAGAGACTTTTAGACTTCTCCAAAGTGTTTGGAGGGGAAAATCAGTGACAAGAATATAGAAAACCAAGGGGCGCCAGGATGGCTCCGTTGGTCAAGTGCCTGCCTTCAGGGGCGCCTGGGTGGCTCAGTCGTTAGGCGTCTGCCTTCAGCTCAGGTCATGATCCCAGGGTCCTGGGATCGAGCCCCGCATTGGGCTCCCTGCTCAGCGGGAAGCCTGCTTCTCCCTCTCCCACTCCCCCTGCTTGTGTTCCCTCTCTCGCTGTGTCTCTCTCTGTCAAAT